TCAATCGTTACAATTTCTCTAATTAAATTTAAAAATGTTCTAGCTGTTATCCAAGCTACAACTTAATCCTTTTTTACTTTCACCACCATATACCATAAATAAATAAATAAATAAATAAATAAATAAAAATAAATAAATAAATAAATAAATAAATAAATAATTTTATTTCTATACCGCCCTTCTCCCGAAGGACTTATGGCGGTGTACAGCCAATTTAAAAACACAAGACACAACAATGATTAAAAATTAAAATAATTAAATAAATTTGGTCGGATTAAAACCCCAAAAATTTAAACTACCCCAATTAAAATTATTATGTTGACAGCCCGGCCTGGCGGAACAACAGGGTCTTCAATGCGCAACGAAACACCGGAGATCGGAGATCTTACGTATTTCCGGGGGCAGTTCATTCCACAGGGCTGGGGCTCCTACAGAGAAGGCCCTTCCCCTGGGTGTCGCCAGCCGACATAACTTGGCTGATGGCACCCTGAGGAGACCCTCTCTGTGGGAGCGGACTAGTCGGTGGGAGGCTATTGGTGGCAGAAGACGGTGTCGAAGGTACCCGGGTCCTATGCCATGGAGCGCTTTAAAGGTGGTAACCAACACCTTGAATCGCACCCGGAAGACCACTGGGAGCCAGTGCAGCTCGCGCAGGAGGGGTGTCACGCGGGCACAACGGGTTGTGCCCATAACCACCCGCGCGGCCGCATTCTGGACCAGTTGGAGCCTCCGAGTGCTCTTCAAGGGGAGCCCCATGTAGAGAGCATTACAATAGTCCAGCCGGGAGGTGACAAGGGCATGAGTGACAGTGCGCAAGGCATCCTGGTCCAGAAAGGGCTGCAACTGGCGGATCAGGAGAACCTGATAAAAGGCCCCTCTGGCCACGGCCGTCATGTGCTCTTCTAAAGACAGCCGTGCGTCCAGGAGGACACCCAGATTGCGAGCCCTCTCTGTGGGGGGCAAAGATTCACCCCCAATAGTCAGCGATGGCACCTGCTGACTATATCGGGACGCCGGCAGCCACAGCCACTCGGTCTTGGACGGGTTGAGTCTGAGCCTGTTCCTCCCCATCCAGACCCGCACAGCCTCCAGGCAGCGAGACATCACATCAAGGGCATCGTTGGGGTGGTCTGGGGTGGAGGTATTAAAGGTATTTCAATTGTTACAGTTTATACTTATTCATATTTCTAAAAAAACTTATCAGTCTAGATTTCAAAAATACAAAGACAAATATTCCAATTATTATTCATTTCATTTTTACAATCATGATTTCCCATTTATTTCTTATTACTATTCATATTTCAATTCTAAATATGTATAACATCTTTCTCTCATTTCTTTTTCTCCTTTCCCATTTTTATTTTTGCCTTTTTCTTTCTCCTTTTTTTCTTTTGTGTTTTAAAATCTTGAACTCTCCTCTTTTGCCCTAAATTTCCCATTGTTTGCACCTACCTTTTTTGGTGAGGAAAAAGAAGAAAAAGAAATCTCCCTCTGTCTCTGCGCAATTTTGCCTCCTTACAGCAAAAAACCTGCTTCACTTTCATTTTCGTTTTCAGCATAGCTTGATTAGCACAAGGAAAAAAATCTGCTCCAGCAATTTACCTCTTTGTAGCAAAGCCCTGCAGAAAACAGCTGAGAGCAAATCAGCTGAGAGTCGGGAGGCCGATCCAATCAACTTGTGCTAATTAGCCTGTGCTGAAGCTGAAAGGAGCTGTTTTTTCTTGCTGTTTGCTTGCAAGGAGGTAACTGCTGTGAGGCAGAGGCCAAAGGGTGGGGGCCAGTGGGTGGGCGAGGTTACATTTGATGCGCACCTAAATTTTCACCCCCTTTTAGGGAGGAAAAAGATGTGTGTAGAGAAAATATGGTATTTTCCCCTTCCAAGATGCAATCCTTAACATGAAGTATATCCGATCCCAAATTGGCTTGGTAGTAAATAACTAATAACTTGGTTTGGGAGGTTCTAGCAGTAGTTCAGAAGTCACATTTAAAAAGAGGGGCAGTACCTGGCTCAAGAGTAGCCCTTGGGAGGAGACCATAAATTATGCAGGAGCTAGCAGTGTGCTGCAGCAGCCAAAAAAAGCCAAGGCAATATTGAGCTGCACCAGGGGTGAAATGCTCCCGGTTCGGACCGGATCACCCGATCCAGTAGCGATGGCTCTGAGAACCGGTAGCAAAAATCCCTGCCCCCACCATCATGCTCAGCTGAGTCGCACGATCATCAGAGGCTTTTTTTTTTTACTTTTAAAAGCATTTTTTCTACAACCTCTTCCGATGAAAAAATCCTTTTAAAAGTTTTTTAAAAAAAGCCTCTGATGATCATGCAGCTCAGCTGGGATCCTCAGAGGCTTTTCAAAGCATTTTTTCCTGCAACCGCTTGGCCGAAGAGGTGGTAAAAAAAATGCTTTGAAAAGTCTCTGACGATCCCAGCTGAGTCGCCTAATCAGCAGAGAGGCTTTTCAAAGCATTAGAAAAAATGCTTTGAAAAGTTAAAAAAAAAAAAGAAGTTGGCCACACCCACCCAGTCACATTACCCCCCACCATCACCAAGCCACGCCCACAGAGCCGGTAGTAACACATTTTACATTTCACCCCTGAGCTGCACCAACAGAGGCATAATGTTGAAGTCACCGGAAGTGAATCCTGCTCTCTGCTGCTCTTTCAGCTCTACAGCCACAATATTGGAGGGATGTCGAGGAACAGAAAGGAGACCAGAGGAAAGCAGCAGAAATGGCCAGGGCCTTAGGGGTGAAATCCAATGAAAAATTAGCAGGTTTAGCCTGAAGAAGAGAAGGCTACAGGGAGCTGTGATAGCCATCTTCCCGTAGGGCTTGAAGGGCTGTCCCAGGGAGGAGGCTATGGATGGATCCTGATTCTTTCAATCTAACTGACCTTCCAGACTTTTTCCAAGATTGTCTGTGAGCGACCAGGTGATGTGGCCCTTCATGAGATGGCCATTTATTTATCTGCTGGTTTTGCAATAGTCTCTATTTAAATAGGTATTAATTCGTACACCACCAATTCTTACAGCTCCTGTTGGTTTTCATTGCAAAAGCATTGAAAATAAAAGCTCTGGTACTATTACCACAAAGAAGCGAACACATACATAACAATAATTATTCCTAAAGTGGCCACCGAACAGAGCAACATTAATTTTCAGGCACCCTGAGGAACAACTTGACTTTGAGGATATTTTGAAAGGATGCCAGAGTTGGTAGGACTCTCCAATCAGACTTGGTCATCCCCCAGAATGACCAGTGCCACGATGAACAACCTGATTGACAATGTCCAGGGAATCCACTTCTGCAGGCAAGGGCTCCACCACCTTCACAATTACCACACATTTTACCAGCATCAACATTCGGGGGAATTTAAGCACTTTTACTGGCAAACATTGTGCAGACACATCACAACAGCTGTTTGCAGATGTTCCAGCCTGTCCCCACTGGAAATGGGGCCACCTTAATCGGAGCCTTGCCCTACCCTAGGATGGGCATGGAAGGTGCCAATTCCCAGGCCAGGCAGTCCGGCAGCTCCAGAAGGGCCTCCGCCGGGCAGCAGGGTGAGCAGCTCCAAGCAGACCCTCCACCTGTTCTTGGCCCAACCTGCTCTGAAGCAATGACCTCCCACCCAAGTGCTTCAGAGCAGGGCTCTCCCTGCAGGCCATGGAGAAGCTGCCTCTGCTCTTCTTTGGTGCTGAGGCTGCTGCAGGAATCAAAAGGAGAGGTGGGGCTCTTAGCTGTCCTCCTCCCCCTCTGGAGGGCCCCCTCACCTGTCACCTGCCCTACAGGCTGGCTGTGGCTCTGTATGCTACTTTTAGGATGGCCAGCCATCCTCAGGGAACTGCAGGCCATTTAGTGAAGCCAGCGAGGGGCCAATGTTGGGCCAAAGAGGGGTGCTGGCTGGGGCTACGGCTGGCACCAGTGACAGGATCCAGAATCTCTTCCTTCAGGAGGAGGAAAGGGCAGCAAGGACTCTCCTTGGCCCCCCAGGACAGCAGGCACACAGACCCGACACACAGACACATTTTCAGCCCTTCTTCCTATTGGATAGAAGCGACCTCTTCCCTCCTTGGTGCATGCATGTGTACGTACACACACACACACACACACACACACACGCACACACACACAAACACACACTAAGGTTAGGGAACAGCCAAGGGGGCTTTTCCTGCCTCTCTTCCAGGGTCCTGAGCTGAAACTCTGCCTGGGAAGCACCTGTTGCAGTGGTGGTGGAGAGCTGGCTCAGAGGGCAGCTGGGACAGAGTCACACATTCGGCACACGGCTGTCCAAAGGGCATCCCCACCCCACCCCCAGACCCAAGGCAGCTTTTCGGCCTGCAGAGTCGCTCTCGACTCAGGCAGCAACTGTGAGGGCTGGGATCCAGGTTGGTGGACTGAGACCCTGTGTAGGCATGGCGCAAGGAGGGGGTGCCCTTCTCTGTGGGTAGGTCTAGTCCACCCTGGGAAATGTCTGCGTCCTCCCCAGGCATCTGGCTTGGGCATTCACACAACCCTCTGGAGTTGTAGCTGCCCAAACTGAGCAGAGACTGAGATGGAGCCGTTTGGGCCTTTGCCGGGATGCTCACCTTGGCAGGTCGACCTCTCTCCGCGGACCTGGATAATGTGTGGCATCCTAACGCTAACCCTCACCGGGTGGGCTTTTAATCGCACTGTCGCAACGGCCATCTTGGCTTTTTTGACCATATCCTTACAGAGCCCCTGTGCTGAAGACAAGGATAGTAACGACCCCCGCCCGAGGCGCAGCACGAGCGGAGAGAGAGAGACGGACGGCACCTCAGAAGCCAGCCGCTGGGCCTCCGCTCCTTCTCGAAGGGCCCTGGCCGGGGGGCCAAGTCTCATCTGCTGTCGGGCAGGGACCTCGCCTCCTTCGGGGACTCTCCGGGCAGCCTTGGGCCGCCTCCCCGGCACAGTCGCTCGCGCGCTCATCTGCGCTGGCCGGGGCCCCGCCCAGCACTCCCCTCGCCCTCGGCCAACCAACGGTCGCGCCGCCGCTCCCCCGCCCGCCTCCCAGGGCCGCCCGCGCCGGGGTTCGCGTCTCCGTGGAGACCAGTCAAGCGGTGGGCCGCGATGGAGCCGGACAGGTGAGCCTGAGCGCGATCTTGCCGCCTCCCGCACTCCGCCCCTGGCGTCGGGGCCGCGGCGCTCTCGGCAGGGCGGTGGGTCGCCGGGGCACCTGCGCCCCCTTCCCGCTCCCCAACTTCCGGCAGCCCGCGACCCGGCGCTCTCCCATCTCTTCCCCGGCCAGAGCCCAGCTGCCGAGCCGCGGAGAGGCCGCCGCCGCCCCGACCAGCGCGGAGGAGCCCCGCGGAAGCCTGGCGGAGACGGTCCCGTGTCCTGCGGAGAGGCCGCCGGACCCCGAGGCAGAGCTGCAGGCCGCAGACACGCACCCGGTGGAGCTGCCGCCCTGTCACGGCGTGGCCGGGCCGTACCTGGGGGAGCTGCCGGCCGCCGATCTGCAACCGCTCCCGCCCTGCGTCCCGGAGGCGCCGAGGGAGCCGCCTGCTCGCGGCCAGTGCTTGATGCACAACTGGCAGGAAGAGGTGAGGCTCCTCCGCCCGTCGGCGGGCTGGCCCTGGCGGTGGGAGGTCAGCGCAGCCCCTGCCTGGCACCCCGTGTGGGAGGAGCACAGCCTCCCCAGGGGCTTCAGAGCAACCCTTCCCTCCTGCCCTGCAGAGCCCGAGGGGCAGGTAGGACCATGCTGTGGGGGGTGATGGGGGGCGAGCAACTGGGGGGCCCGTGGCCCAGAGGGGGTGGAGTATTCTTTGTTTTCATGTTTGCTTCTCCCAGAGAGCCACCAACGATCTGGACCACGTGCCGAGACCCGAGTATGGCACTGAGGGGTTTTTCCACCGGCACGGGCATCCTGGCCTCCTGACCCTTGACTTCCTGGCCGGCATGCCCACAACCACCACGATGAAGGACTCCTATCCTCTTCCCGTGAAGACGGGGCTCCCTGTGCGAGGTGGGCAGCAGAGGCCTGGAGTGGAGCCGAGGATGGGCTTAGCGGACAACATCTGCGCAGGGAGGGAAAGGGACTCTCTCGGGGTTGGCTGCTCTGCTGCTCTGGAGGATTAGCTCAGTGGAGGTCATTCTCCCCACACCGGAGGGCCCTTGTTTTCCACTTATTAGAAAGCCAGGTAGCCCCAATCCAGTAACCAAGACACGAGTCAGGGAGTTTAGCTGCTACCTTTGGGCCACCAGGCAGGGCCTTCCTTTGGCTTCCTCTGGCTTCTGATTGGGATACAGGCTGCCCTGATGTGCAACTGCAACCCTGCCCTCCTCTTGGCCTTTCCCCCCAAACAGCCCCCTCAGCATGTCTACGAGGTTCTCGGTCACCCATCAAGTCCCACAAGTGCTTTTCCAAAAGGCAAATGGACTTCCTTGGTTTTCCCTTGAAGGTGTTTGGCTTCTCATCCAAGAAGCTTCTTCAGTTCTGACTGAATGGTGGCGAATGGAAGGATTCATATTCCTTGCAGTCACCTGGTGGTGAGCCCTCTTTCTGAGAGTTGTTGAGGCTACTTGGGAGACACAGATAAACCTTCAAGAGGAAAAAAAACCCCAGCTACCTTTTGAAAAAGCACCTTTGGGACAGCCTCCTGGGCAGCTTCTTTGGTGAACAGCAACTCTTTCGAAAGATACTTCAAAAAGATGGTTTGGCTTCTATTTCCCCCCCACCCACCTTTTTTCCCCCCCTCTAAAGGATCTAGGGTTTATTTTTGAAATTACAGGTGGTGCTCAACTTATGACCATTTGTTTAATGACTGCTCAAAGTTACAATAGCACTTTAAAAAGTGACTGACAGCTAGTGCTCACACTTAGATTGGTTGATGTGTCTTTAGGCCCTGTGACTGCCCTTTGCAACTTTCCCAGACAGCTTCCAACAAGCAAATCCAGTGGGAAAGTCGGAAGAGGAAGTTGCAAGTCACAATCATGCAATGTTTCTCTTAAGGATGAATTTTCCTGTTCCAAGGTTGCTCATAAGTCGAGGACTACCTGTACTGTAAAACTGTAGAGGGACAAGTTGTGATCCGTGACACGCTGCTCTCCTTCCTTGGAATGGTAGATTTTGCCTTCTGTCTGACTCCTTCGGGCAGCCGAGCAGAGAGAAGCAGCAGTTTCTAGGAAGGCCTTCAATTTCCCAAAATGGATCATGCCAGGCCTGCGCAGCTCATTGAGGGGAAAAGGCCACGTTGCTCAGTTGAAAATCTGAGGGGTGGGGGGGGGAGAATCAGCTGGCATGTAGATCAGCTGCTCTGCAGGTAGAGGGTGTCTCCAGGGCAGGAGCTGGCAGCTGCAGTGAGTCTCAAAGACTCCTGGCGGCAGATCCTTCCGGGCTGTGGCTGTGAATGTGCTCCTTTTTTTAAAATGGGGAGGTGGCTGCATGGTATTCTTGGTTTTAAACAGACAGGAGTCGCCCAGGCCAGAGCCTCTTAGAATGGGCTTTGTGAGGTCTGGGGAGCCACCTAATCCTGCCTCCATAACAGGAAGCAGAGTCTGCTTGAGCCCCCAGCCGGCTTTCTGGTTCTGCCTTGAATGACACAGTGGGAGGTTGGCATCGATCTAGTGCCTGGCTCAATTTGGGACACCAGGGGGGTGCTGGTGGGGATGGCTTTCTCCCATCTCCCTCCCTACGGAAGGCTCAGGGCCCACCTTCCTGTCTCCATTCCTGGGCAAGGTTCTTCTCCAGCATCTCCATGGATGCCCCCTACCCCACTTGTCTCCTTTTATCCCCAGGGAAACGAGAGGCCATGATGGAGCATCTTCTGTACCAGAAACACAGGTGAAGAGTGTGACCTTCTCTCTTCCCCCCCCCACTTAGCAGCCAGGCATTGCTGTGGCCTGTCAAGGTCAAAGGGCAGCCTCTTTCCTCCAACTGGTCTGGACTGTGAACTTGCTTGGCCCTTTTCTGGAGCCACTTGCCCCACTGCAAGTCAAACCGCGATCCAAAGACAGAGGACCCTGGGGGTATTCAAGGCCACAGAGCTGCAGAAGGCAGGGAGACCTCCATCTTATCCATTCTGAGCACTGTCCTTCTGTGTCAAATTGCTGGGTGAGAGTTTAAATACCAGCATGGGATGGGAGTCCTCATCCACTGTCTTTTCACAGACTTTCCCAAGCCAACTTAGAGCACTTGACTCAAAGGTCACTTTGTTTTAGAATAAGAGTTGAAAGGGACCTTGGAGGTCTTCAACTCCCTGCTCAAGCAGCAGCTCTTCTACTATTTCAGACAAGTGGCTGTCCAGTCTCTTCTTAGAAACCTTCAGTGAAGAAGCACCCAAAACTTCTGAAGGCAACGTCTGTTCCACTGGTTAATTGTTCTGTTGGTAAAATTCTCCTTAGTTCCAGGTTGCTTCTCTCCTTGGTCAGTTTCTGTCTGTTGCTCTTTGTCCTGCCCTCAAGTGATTTGGAGAATAGGTTGAGCCCCTCGTCTTTGAGGCAGCCTCGCAGATATTGGAGGGCTGCTAGTCCATTAAGCTAGACATATCCAATTCTTGCAATCGTTCTTCATTTTCAGCTGCCTAAAAGAGTGTTCTGGGGTGATCCTAGCTGGCATCCTGGAGCCTGCTTAGGAGAGCCTCCCAAAGGGGAAGCTTAGGAGCGAGTGGGCAGGTGCCAGCATGAAGTGGTTGGTGCAAGGACTGAAACCAGAGGGTGGGACTACCTGGGCATTTCTTCCTTTGCAGAAGGGAAGAGCCGAGGTCTTCCAAGGGCCCTTTGCCAGGGAGCTGAGCAGGCTGCTGCCTCCTGTCTTGCCCAAGGGCCAGTGTGAGGCCATGTTGCCTAACCCTGGAAGCTGAAAAAGTGATGAAGGAGAACCGGGGAGGACGGACCAGTGTGGGATGTTGGGCGTGGGACAGCGGAAGTTGGTGAGGCAGAGAGCAGCAGCAGCAGCAGCACAGAGGTCCTAGGCTAGAGAGAACCCTATCCAAGGCAAGCTGCAGCAGGAGGCTGCACATTTCCACAGAACTGCTGGGGAAAGGGAGGCGGGCTGTTCCACCACTCCCCTGTCTCCCCTCCCACTCAATTAGGGTTTCCTTGGGCTGAAACAACCCCAGCAGGCCGATGACTGCAGAAGTCCACTGTGACCAGCACACAGCCAAGAACACTCCCAGGGGCCTCCTGCAGCTGCAGGGAGGCATCCGATGTCCAGACTGCAGAGCAGGTTGGAAAGTGGAGCCGTGCAAAGGAATTCACTCCCTGCTCCTCGTTTGCACAAGCAGCACTGGAGCTTCCTGCTGTGGCCTTCCCTGCTGACCACAACTGATTCACACGCAGGGCCTGCTTATCCACCAGTGACACGGGGGATCCTGGGGCCGGCAGAAACTCCCTACAGTGGTGGTGCTGCTGCTGCTGCTGCCACCATGACTTTCCTTGCCCTTCTACCCCAACCAGCAGGCAGGGGTGGGTGCCGTGGCATAAAGCAGTGAGGGCTGTGCCAGCTCTTTCCACACCCTTTCCCTGTGCCTGAGAGGAGATCCCGCCCTTCAGCCGTGATGATTGGACAGCAAAGGAGGCAGCCAAGTTAGAACCTGGACAAACAGCCTGATAAATATTTGCAGTGTTGCTCCCAACTTTTTACCTGGCAGGACTGGCATTCTTCGAGATTGGCACACAGAAGTCCTGCAAGAAACATTCTGGCAGTGCCAAAACCAGTTCTGTTTGGGAAACCAATGAAATAACAGTGCAGGGTGTTGGGTGCTCTCTTTTATTCATAAAACACTTGGACAGCTTGAAAAATGATCCTCGCCCTTCTGCTCTCTGTCTAGAAAATGAATGTATAAAATCTTTCCAGGATGAGATTTCTACACTGGCTGCACTGAGCCCTCCAGCCTTCCTTCCCCCAACTGCTGGTGTCAAAATAAAAAAAATTCCTGGGTTCACTGCCGTTGACAGTGCTGGAGGTCCCACACATGGCTTGGCAAGGGAAGCACTCTGGTCCCTGAGGTGGTTTCTGCCCCCCGGGGAGGGGAGGGAGCAAGAGAACCATCTGTAACCAGCCCCCCACCCCTTCTGCCAGTGCAGCTCCTGGCTCAACTGCTGTTGTTGCTGTTGGTTTGCAGCAGGAACCTCCTGGCGGGCGAGGCCTACCCTCCGTCTGAGCCCATGGAGTCCCTCTCCATCACCCACCGGGACTACAAGCAGGAATTCTTCCATTCTGTGCCCCCGCCCCCCATCCAGGTAAGGGGCCCTGCTGTCCAGAATAGCAGCCAGGTTCCCTCCTGGACACACCCCAGTAGTTCCTCATGACTTCCTCTCCTCTTGCAGCCCCACGACTACCGGCTGGAACAACCGCAGACATTCTGGCTCGAACATGCCCAGCAGGTGCCGGTGAGTGCCACCCTGTCCAACCTGGTGTTGCCATGCCTTTCTGCCCCCTCTCATGAGGCTCGTCCTTGAGAGGCTGTGAAGGACATGGCAGGCAGCCCGGGCACCTGTTGCTCTAGCATGGAGGGTATGTTCTGGCCAGGCGGCTTGAACCCAGCAACAAGGGTGGGTGATGCATGCCAAGAGAGCAGCTCCGCCCCCCTGGCTGCTCTTCAGCCTCTTTACCCCTCTCCACAGGGCACCTCCAGCATCCGGACTGGCGACACCCCCTTCAGGAAGTGCGCAACTTTCACAACCCCCGTCTCAGAATGCCTCGACCAGCCATTGCTGTATGGTCCAGAAAACTGCCCCAAGCTTTGAACGCTTCCTTGCCACCATCTGGGCCAGTGGGAAAGCCCCAAGCTTATGCAGGCGGAGGGGGATGGAGAGGCGCTTCCTCAAAGTGTTGATTTCCCTGTTAAATTCCTGTAAGAACTGAAGGCCCAAACTCCAGGCAGCTTCCTTGGGGTTCTCCCACCACAAAAGCAGCTGGGGCTGGACAGACCGTTTTCCATCCGTTCTCCTGCTAAATGGAGGAGGGGTCTGTTCTCTCCTCCCTCTTTCTATTCGGACAAAACTGCTTGCCTGGTTCCTGAATTTGCAGCCAAATGGGGAAAACGAGCAGCAGGGCTGGAAGACTGGTTCAGCCAGCTGAGCCAAGGGGTGGGGGGCATCGAATGAGGCCAGGAGCCCCAGTGGGCAAAGGGCATCTGTGGTTGGGTCAGCAGGTGGATTCCTGCTGCCGGGTGGGGAAGACCCCTTAGTGTCTGGGGCAGCGAGAGCCCCCTCCCCCATCTGCTCCAGGTGTAGCTGCTGCCTCCCTAGGCACGAAGCCCTCCTGGCCTGCAGGCTGGCCACCTCGTGCTCTCCCTCGCTGCTCCAAGGCAGAGCAAATCCACCACACATTCGTTCGTGGGAGCAGCTGCTCCTGCTGGGTCCCCACAGAGGGAGGGCCCCCCCTCAGATGACAGCCGTCTTCTCTTCGCCCAGCAGCCAGTAGGTCCTCATTTTCCCTTTGCCCTGCCAGAAAGCAGACACATGTGTGAGAGGCCCTTGCCCCCTTTCTTGCAATGCAGCCCACCCCTCAGAGCAGTGAAAGAGCAGCCACCTTCCCACACCCACCTTCATCTCCACGTCCCCCCGGAGCTCCAGCAGAAAGCAGCCAAACTCGTCCAGGATCTCCTTGGTGGCAGCAGAGATGTGGATCTTCAAGGCTAGAAGGAAGGGGGGGGGCAGGAGAGTGAATGCCCCCCAGGATCCCCTGCCAAAGGGCCCAGCAGCACTCTTGGGAGTCTTGGGATCCACAGCAATGACAGAATACCGCAATAAAGTTGATTAGTCTAAACTAGTGAGGCTTTAACTGTTCCTGTTGGGGACTCTCTCGCCCTTAAGGAGAAGCAAGGTCTCAGCCCACTTGGCCTCTGGGAAATGGGGTGCGGCTGGGCTGGATTGCATCCCACTGGAGCATCTACTGAAGGGGAAAGGAGATTCACAAGGAAGTTTCGGGGAGGGGGCTGGAAAGGCGGCGGGGGAAGAAGTACCAGCAACAGGCTCCAGGGGAGGGGGTGGTGAGGATGCACAGGCCCTGCAGAAAGAGAGGGGGGGGTGTCTCACCCTCGCCATTGGACTCCATGCGTGAAGCTGTGTTGACGGTGTCCCCAAAGAGGCAGTAGCGCGGCATCTTGAGGCCCACCACTCCTGCACACACCGGCCCTGCAGAAAGGCAGAGGAGGGCGGCTGAACCACTGATGCTCTGTGCATGCTTGGGTGAGGTGGGCCGCAGTCGCCCACCTGAGACTCACCAGAGTGGACCCCGATACGCAGGTGCAGCTGCTCACTGGGCCGGTGCCGGATGCGGAAGGTCTTCACAGCCTCCAGGAGCGCCAGGGCCATGCGGACGATTTCGTGGGCGTGGAGCTTGCCATTTCGGACAGGCAGGCCGGACACCACCATGTAGGCATCACCAATGGTCTCTACCTACGGCCAGGGCCAAGGACTAGGGTGAGACAGGGGGGACTATCTGCAGTGCTGCTGTGAGCCTAGGGTCAGCCAGGAAGACCCCTCCCCCCGGCCCAGCAAGGCTCACCTTGTAGACGTCAAAATTGTCAATGATGGCATCGAAGCAAGTGTAGAGGTCATTGAGGAGTGTCACTACCTGAGGGTGGGTGGGAGAGAGACAGGTGAGCTGGCTGAGCAGGTGAGGGGAGTCTAATCGAGCAAGAGCAGGTGGCTGTCCGGGGCCAAGCCTGGAAAAGGCTGTGACCTTCAGGCATGGCAGTTCCTGCAGATGCCCCGGGCGGATGGATTGACATTTTTGGGAAGAGACCAATCAACAAAGTTGAATGAGAAGGACCAGATTGGAATCCCATGCCCCAAGGCCTTGCAGAAGGGATCAGTGAACATTGGGAGTGGGATTAATAGCAATCTTTGCCTTTCCTCTGCTTCCCAATAGCTGCATTCACGCAACTCCCTAAGCCAGCACCGAAGCCCAATTGCTGCGTTCATGTAATATGTTACACTGAACCACGGGAGGACTTGAAAGTACCAGCTTGATTTATGATGATTCCAAGCCCCAAGGACAGGGGTGAAATGTAAACTTTGTTACTACCGGTTCTGTGGGCGTGGCTTGGTGGGGGGGGGTAATGTGACTTTTTAAAAAAAAAACTTTTAAAAGCCTTTTTTGTACAACCTCTTGAGGTTGTACAAAAAAGGCTTTAAAAGGCTCTGACAATCCCAGCTGAGTTGCCTGATTCTCAGAGGCTTTTTTTTGCTTTTAAAAGGAAAAAAAAGCCTCTGACGATGTTTTTAAAAGTAAAAAAAAAAGCCTCTGATGATTGTGCGGCTCATCTGGGCATTGGGGGGGGGCAGGGATTTCTGCTACCGGTTCTCTGAACCATCCACCACCATCGCTACCAGATCGGGCAATCCTGTCCGAACCGGGAGCATTTCACCCCTGCCCAAAGGGTTTTGTAAGAACGTGGCCACAGAGGTTGATGGGCTACGGTCATAACCATAGACCAGTGACGATGAATGTTTTGGGCTCAGCATGTCAAAAATTCAGAAAATGCCTACCTTGATTCTGTGGTGTGTAACCCCCCCCCTCAATTCACCCTGGTCAAAAGAGGCCTCTCCAGATCTCCTCCCCTCTTCCCTCCCCTCCAGACTATACTCCCAGGACCCTCAGAGAATGGTCAACTTCCAGAGTGCCCGGAGGCCTGGCACGTCACCGCAAATGGCGTGGTGTATCACCTGTGACACGCATTCCATAGGTTCACCATCACTGCAATAGACCAGAGTTAAGGTAGCCATTCTACTTTTTTCAGCAATTGGTAGCTATGTAAGTACCAGCCTTCTGCTGTGTGCCAGCCATGTTTATTGGTGGCAGCACCACATGCAGGGCTCCACATATACACTGGGTGAGGACAACAAACCACACCCCAACTCTTAAGCGGAGGAAGCAGGGAGCTCCTCACATTCAAGGGGAAACTGTCTAGCGGGAATCTGTCCTGCTCCAGCCGGTGGGGGTGGGGAGACTTTTCCAAGCACAAACCAAGGAGGACCAGAGTCAGTCGCATCCATTTCAGACATGCAAGGGATTACATACCCACCCACCCACCTGTACTGCAGCCTACCTGCATGGGGGTGCTCTCTGCTGACAAGGAGGTGAACCCTACAATGTCGCTGAAGTAGATGGTGACACAATCGAAGGCTTCAGCCTGTACTGTCTCACCCCGCTTCAGCTGCTCAGCCACCGAACTATGGGGTAGAAAGGACAGGAGCTGCTGACCTTCCAAGCGGGAGACAATCTCAGGCCCCAGAGCCCCAGAGGGAAGCAGGCAGAAGCTGGACTCACTGGGGCAGGATCTGGTAGAGTAGATTCTCTGCCTTGCGCTTCTCCTCCAGGTAGGCCTGCGTGCGCTCTTCCACCAGCTTCTCCAGGTTGTTGGCGTACTGCTCCATGCGCGACAACAGGTTGTCCAGGATGCTGGTACTTCCTTCCCTGAGGCAGAGGAGGAGGGCAGGGTCCACAGTGGTGCAGGCAAGGAGGGTGGGAAGAGAAGAGTGCCAGGATGGTACGTCAGGTGCTGTGCCATTACATTCTCCACTCCTGAACCTCTTACTCTGAAGCCTCTGGATGAGAGGCAACACTGTTGTAGGTTGGGGACTGTGCCCCCAGACTATGGGAGCATCTGCCCTCCTGGGGTAGCCTCAGTCCCCCCCCCCAGCCCTGACTTCTCCTCCAGGAAGCCTATCCTTGAATCCTGTGGGTGGGAAGAGCGCCTGCCTCTTTGGGGAGGGGGCAATCTGTCAGCCGAGCCACAGAAGTGCCTGAGAAAGCCAAGCTGGCTAAATTTGGGGTCTGGGGCCTGTTTTGGAGACCCTCCTTTTCCCACATCCAGATTCATATGCTGCCACAGGAAGCTTCCCATGGACACCACACCCCCTTCCCGTGGCCGCTTTATCTCCATCTCAGGGATCCAGCAGGTCTTTGGGGGCTTCCCCATGGGGACCCTCAGTCCATGTTCTGTAGGAGAAGAGGGAGATTCTCTCCAGGGCCAACTGGAGCCTCCTTGAGGTGCGCCTGCATCCCATGAGAAGTCAACCTTGGGATGGTTGCAACCAGGCCCACCGCCTGCCTTCCTGAGCGGGTTCTCCAGGGCCACGTGGGGAGGAGACCTTCTGCACTTCCCTGCTCAGAGGGTCAGAAGCTGAAGCAGGACCCACACAAACCAGTGGTGTTATTCAGCTGGTTCTATCCGGTTTGGGCGAACCAGTAGTGGCAGCTGTGGGAGGTTCTGCCCACCCGCCCAGATGTCATCATGTCTGTGTTTGACGCTCTGCGCAGGTGCGGAAGTGGCGCATGCACTCCCATTTGCAAACCAGTAGCGAAGGTAAGTGAATACCACCAGTGGTGGGTTGCTATCGGTCTGGATCTTGTGAACCGGTAGAAATGGTGGCGGGAGGCTCCGCCTACCCACCCAAACATCATTACGGATGCTCTGCGCATGCACAGAAATGCTGCGCATGAGCGAAGTGAGCATGCACACATACTCCCGTTGCAAACCGGTAGCGAAGGTAAGTGGTACCCACCCCTGAATACCACGCCCCCCCCTCTCTCTCTCACACACACACACACACAAATACCAATCCCCTACGGTGGGAGAAGGATACCTTACCTGTTGAACCGCCGGATGAAGGCTTTAATCTGGGCAAAATCCGGGCGCTCGGCCAGCTGCTGAGCCCAGCAGCGCTCCATCAGGACAGCCAGCTCCTCACTGTGCAGGCGGGTGTCGATGGTGGGCCGGAAGTAGGGTGGCTGGCTGTTGCACACCTTCTGCACAATCTCTGGTGGGGAGGAGTGGGGTGGGATGCACAGGAGTGAATGTGGGGGCGATGGGATGGAGGCACAGCTGACTCGTGGGGGGAGGGGGTGACCGGCTGCTGGGACAATGAGGAGAGAGAAGTGAACATGGCAATCCTGGGTGATGGTGGTGGAGGAGGACGAGGGGGGGGACTGGAAAGACAGAGGTCACAGGGTCAAACCTGCGTGGTCACAAGTAGCAGAATCCAGCCAATGGCACAGCCAGCAGCCTCACCCCTTTACCATTCTCTGGTGTGGAAACCCCCGTCTTGGATTCAGGCATTGCCGTCCTTTCCCTCCACACCCCAGGTGCGGCCGTGGCAGCAGAGCTCAGGTGAGCTGGTGGAACAGGCCGGATGGGGATACTTGTCCCCGGGTGAGAAGCTCTGGCCTGCTCTCTGGGGAGCCCCAGAAGATGTAAGTGCCAGACCAACAGTTGCCCGCCCCCCCGAAGGGGCTCCAAGGTCATGTGTCTCCGAGAATCCAGAGACCTTACTTCCCCGCCTCTTCTGCAGCACCGCTCAGACGGCTGGCCCCACTGCTGAATGCATCCAGGCCGGAGGACTCCTTGGCTGCAAGAGGTCGGTGCAGGGCGGTGGCAGGAGGAAGAAAGGGACCGGCTGCCTCTCCTGCTGACCTTTCCTGATTCTCCGGGCTGAGGCAGGATGTGTAAAGCAGCATCCCACTTCCTGGTCAAAGCAGGCTGGAGGCGGGCAGTGCTGGCGTTTGCCAGGAAAGGCTCCCAGGCTGTTGGCTTCCGGCCCGACCCCCAGCCCCTCCTCACCCTTGGGACTGAGCTCTATGCCCTCCACGTAGAAGGCGCCGCTGCGCAGTGCGATCTCCTGCAGGATGATCCCAAAGCTGTACACGTCCGCCTTCTGCATGGCCGGGGGTGGCGGGAGCAGTGTCCCCTTCTGCAGCAGCTCTGGGGCCGTCCACAGCTTCTCTGAAGCAGGAGCCAGAGAGTCTGGGGTCAGGGAGGTGCAGGGCTTGGGCTTTCCCAGGGGACAGGCAGGAGAGCGGGCCACAGGAGGGCTTGCCGGGCACTCACTGGCGTAGAGCGCATGGTTGCCCTCACTCTCATGGCCCTGGCGGAAGCTGGCCAGGCCGTAATCCGTGATCTTGAGCACGAAGCGGCTGTCCACCACGCAGTTGGAGGACTTGAGGCTGCCGTGGTAGCCAATGATGCTGTTGTGCAGGAAGGCCATGCCCTGTAGGAGGCGGGAGGGGAGAGAGGGGACAAGCAGCTGCTGAGGGGAGAAGAGGGTCCCCAAAGGAGGGAGGGAGGCCCGCTTGCAGAGCCTCCGCTGGGAGGACCTCCAGGATGGGGAAAACAGCAGGGTATCCCCCACAATCCCCTCTCGATTGCCAGAAGCCCCTTTCCTCACCTTGACAATGTCATTGATGAGGGCATAGCGGAACATCCAGTCCAGGTTGATGCTCTCGTTCTCCAGAATGTCCTGGGCAGACCGGGAGGTGGGGGGGGAGAGGTCAGTTTTGGCCACAGCACACCGGGCGGAGTCCTGCCTCCCCCTCCCCCATCCTGGACGGCCGCCTCACCTGCAGACTGCCACGAGGACAGTACTCGGTCACAATGCAGATGTTGGGGGGGTCAATGCAGGCCCCAATGAACCGGGTCAGGTGGTTGAACTGGATATCCCGCATCTGTGGGGCAGTGAGCATGGAGTGGGAGCCACTGCCAATGTCTCCCTCCCTGCAGCAGAGGCTGCCACCCCCGCAAGACCCCTAGAGTAGTCAGCCCCCCCCCCCCCAGTACATACGTGCTTGAGCTCGAAGAGCACCTGCCTCGTCAGCTCAATCCGCTTCTTATTGACGTGTTTAATGGCCACCACGTTTCCCTGCAGGGCAAGAGGCAAGCGGAGCGGGTGGTGAGCCGGCCTGGCCTCCAACGCGGCTGGGGCTGGAGAGGGGGACGGAGGGGCTCACCTTGAAAAGTCCTGTGTTGGCAAAGATCTGGTACTTGCCGTGGGCTGTCATGAGGGAGCCATAGCTGGAGCCACGCTGGAGAGAAGCCAAGGCAGAGTCACAGCCAGCCGAGGCCGAGTGGGCAGGAGGGGGAAAGGGCCCCCTAAAAGCTGAGGGGCTGGGGAACAGGTGGGGGGCCGGGCCTTGAAGGGACCCTCCATAGATGCCCCGTAGTACCTACCAGCGAGAGGGTGAGTCGGCTGCCCGCCCCCTTGTGATAGCGCTCCGAGCCCCCAAACTGCAGATCCTCCCAGCGTATCCGCCACAGCATGCTGGCCAGCTCCTTCTCCAGCATCAGCTTCCTGCCAAGAGCCAGAGCGGCTCCTGAGTTCTCTGACCCAGCCACCCCCCCCCCCCCCCCCCCCCAAGTGCCCTGCAACGAGACCCGGCCTGGACTCAGGGCTGAGTCTGCAGCACAAGAGGCACCCGCCGCACCCCGGCCCAAACGCCAGCCAAGGCCACAAAAGGCCCGCCAGTTCACCCCAAGCAGCCTGGCACGTGTGAACATGCCAGCCAGACCTTCCTCTGGTTTATCCCACTGTGTGAATGCTTAGAGGTTGTGGAGGAGGCCCTTCCTTGCAGCCCAGCCTCCCCCAAAGGCTGAGGAGGGAACACCTGACTAAGCCCAGCCTGGCCCTGACCACACAACACAGGGGTGGCCACTGCAGCAATGCCCCTCCCCCTCCTGGGCTGCACACTGCCTGTCTGGCCAGGGCGCCCCCTTCCCACCCCCTGTATTCTTGTCCCCCCCCCCAAAGAATTTGCTCAGGCACCTGAAGATCAGGAAGCTGGAAACCCCAAACATGATGAAGGTGAGTCCGGCCCCCAGCGCCAGGATCGCCAGGGTGCTGAGCGCACCTGCAAGGACACAGCAAATCAGGGAGGGGGCTCTGCCTGCAAGCGCCCCCCTAGGGAAGTACCCTGAAAGGCACAGGCTGAATGTCATTGGTGGGTCTTTCTGGGGAGGGAGTCGGGGGGGGGATATGTCCACTGGGAGGGAGAGAACCAGCTGCCCACAGCAGGCAGGCCATCCAAAGGAGGGAGGAGAAAACGGGGGTCAGGGATTCTCCAAAGCCGTCCCAGGGTGAAGGGAGTCCTGTCTCTTCCCCAGCTTCCTTTGGGCAGCAAGCCTAGAGACACCCACTTTTGTCACAGGAGGGGTCATCCATGTCAAAACAGGGGGGGTTATCGAGAGGCGGCTGCCCCTTGACCCAGTGGATAGGCCCCAGCCACTTCAGCTGCTTCTCCGATCCCACATAGTGTCCAACCACCTGTGGGTAAAAGGCCATTGGCTCACCTGGCCAGATGCTGCTGTTTTCCCCCCACCCCATGGAGAATAAGGAGTTACCGCCCCAGACTTTTTCCCCACCAGGAGAAAGAAGGGCCGGTGTCTCCTGGCCAGGGAGGACCAAGATGCTGGGTGGGCTGAGGTTGGAGGCTGCTGAGGGGCTCCAGCCTACCTGGTACTCGCCACTCCCCCCCTCCATCATGGCCCACAAGTTGAAGTCTGTGTCGCGGTCATTGTTCTGATCCATGCTCACGGTCCCAGTGACCCCTGGACAAGGGAAAGCGGGCACATATTTGGGTCAGGCCCCTAGGAGCAGTTGAGGCCAGCAGCGCTGTCACCATTGTAGATGGAGCTGTGGACAGGACACTCCCCAGGGCACCTCACCCAGGCCAGCCTGGGCCCCAGACCTGGACGTCCCCTCCAGATGCGCCAGCCCCCCCTCCACCAGCCACCAATAAGATCTCTTCTGGGTCTGGCAACCCCCCTCCTTGCAGCCCCCGTACCCTGGAACCTGCGCCCTTTCATCTTTTCCAGGATGCGGCTGTTGTTGATCTTGGGGTCGCCCTCGTGGAAGGTCTCGTTCAGGGCCAAGGCGTAGAGGAGCAGCCCATCGTGGAAGCAGCCGGCCACCAGGTTTTTCTGTTGTTTTGGGGGGAGCCAAAGAGGAAGATGGAGGCGTTGCTCGGTGCAGTTGAAGGGCCCACCCTTGGGAAGACCCCCCACCTTGTCTAGGGAGGCAGCAGGAATATGATGTGGCCCCGTTAATTTAACCTGGTGTCAGTTATGTGGTAACTTCGGATATCCCAAATTCCCCTCGGTTCCCATCCACAACAAGCAAAAGTGTCTAAACACCAGGACACAGGAGCCCTTTTCTGTTCGGATACAGAGGGGCCCACTTGCACCCCGGGCAGATTGGGACCTCCTCCATTGCACCCCTGCGGTCGGGATGACCTGGTGACTGTCGGCCCTTTGATCCAGAGGCTAAAACTAGGGAGGCTTTACTCTTATTTGAAGGCAGAAAACATGAACGTGTCTATTTTGGAAAAGGGGAACAAAATCTCTCTGCTGTTGTCCCAAAGGAGACCAGGAACAGTTCCGGGTTGCGAGCTCAGCTTTTGCCGACAACCCAGAGTGTGAAGAGTCTTCAGCCCGTTGCCTTCCCGTGCCCCACGGCCCTCTGCGTTGGTACGTCCCTCCCCAGCTGGGTTCATACAAGAGGCTGAGCTCGGCTGAACCGGCACTGGGTGGTAATGCAATCCTAAATTGCATCATCAAGATCAAGTGAGGTACTTTTTATTTATTTAGCATATGGCACGTTAGCCAGGGATCACCGAGGTGGCTGGCTGCCTCTGTCACACAGTAACAGTAACAGAATTGGAAGGGACCTTGGAGGTCATCTAGTCCAACCCCCTGAAAGGGATTTTTTCGGGTGGTGTTATCTTTACCCGCAGGATGCCTGAATGCCAGTAGGCAATCGGGGGAGGCTCCTTTCTTGTCACAAGTCAGGTACCGATACCACTCTAGAAAGCCCTAGCAAGGCCACACCTGGAATCCTGCATCCAGTTTTGATCACCACACTATAAAAAAGATGCTGGGACTCTAGAAAGAGTGCAGAGAAGAGCAACCAGGATGATGAGGGGACTGGAGGCTAAAACATATGAAGAATTATTGCAGAACTGGGCCTGGCTAGTCTAGTGAAGAGAAGGACCAGGGGAGACAGGATAGCCGTCTTCCAATATCTGAGGGGCTGCCTGCCACAGAGAGGAGGAGGGGGGTCAAGCTGTTTTCCAAGGCACCTGAAGGCCAGACAAGGAACAATGGATGGAAACTGAACAAGGAGAGGTTCAACCTGGAAATAAGGAGGAATTTTCTGACAGTGAGAACAATCAACCCGTGGAACAGAAGTTGCCTTCGGAAGTTGTGGGGGCTTCATCCCTGGAGGCTTTCAAGGGGAGACTGGGCTGCCATCTGTCAGAAATGGTGTAGGGCCTCCTGCTTGGGCGGGGGGGTTGGACTAGATGACCTACAAGGTCCCTTCCAACTCTGTTCATCTGTCCAATTCGGTTAATCTGCTTTGGCTTCCGCTGTAGAAGGGTCGGAAGGCAGCAGGGCGAGGGGGGTTCCACTGCTGAAAGCCCCTCAGGGGACTGAATGCAGCCAGCAGGTCCTGCAGACGCCTCTGTGCTTGGGGGCCTGCGAATAAGCAGGCCCGGCTATTCAGCCAGCGGATTGGTCAGCAGGTGAACAGCCAATCAGGGAACACTTGCTCAGTGAACAATGAAGGGAGAGGTGGGAATACAGCCCCCCACTCTCCTTAATGGCTTTTTCTGCCTGTCTGTGGGTTCCTGGGAAACTGCACAGAAAGTGAGGAGGGGAGCTTAAAAATAGGAGCAACCCCATGGGGAAGGGGCAGGATGTGCGTGGGAGGTGGCTGCCGGTTTCCTGTCTGCACCCAGAATTGCTTCCACAGCCTGGTGAAAGGGGCCCCTGCTGCTTTCCTCCCCCCCCCCCAATGGAGGGAAAAGGTAAATTCCCCACACTTGCCTCTTGCAGAGGGGGAGTGAACAACCCCCCCCCCCCCCCCCACTGAGAATCCCGATGGGACCTCCCTGCCCCAGGTTCAAGGGCATCAATTCAGCAAGGCAAGCAACACTGCCCCCAACTTCCTCCCACCCCTCAGTGCAGGTCCTAGGAGTGGGGGGGGGGCTGTTCTTCCAGAGGGCTTCCAGGCCAAACACCTCTCCCTAGGAGGTGCCACTTACCTGGGCAGTAGTGGGGGGGCAGGCTGCTTCTCCTTGCAAGTAGCTCAAGAGGGCAGGGCTGGTGCTTTTTCAGGAAGAACACTCCCCCCCCCAATGCCAACCAGGATGGGCATAGTGAAGTTTATCTTGGGAGCAGCTCCAGATGCCCAGTAAGAAACAGCCCTCAGAGCAGAAACTGCACACAGCCCTGCTTTGAACCAGGGTAGCCGTGGGCCAGCATGGCTGATGGTAGCTAGTAATTCCTGGACCATCTCCAGGTAGAAGTTTGGGCGGAGACCCTTGCCCTCAACCTGGGAGGACGGGCGTGACACACATATACCCCTCCTGCTTTTGTCCAGCCACTCAGGCTACTGGCTGCCTGGACGAACGTGAGTTCCCTGCCCTCTCTAGCCCCCCCCCCGAGTTGGCCTTGGCTGGCTGTAAGGGTCCCGAAGAGGTTCCCCTGTGGCCTCCCTCCTCTAGGCAACCCAGAGCTTGTGGGGTCCCCCCAGAGGGGTTTTTCAAAGTCCTCTACTCAGAATTTGTGGGAGTTTCATCCCTGGAGACTTTCAAGAAGAGATTGGACTGCCATCTGTCAGAAATGGTGTAGGGTCTCCTGCTTGGACGGGGGGTTGGACTAGATGACCTACAAGGTCCCTTCCAACTCTGTTAATCTGTACATCTGTAAAGCTCGCTGCAAGCATAGGCCAAGGAGGCCAAGAAAGATCCTCCCACCCCCACATGCATGGCTTCCCTTGCCAGCTGAGTGTCCCCCCTCAAAGAGGACAGTGAAACTCTCTGGATCCCCCTCTGGAGACCTCCACCAAGGGGCACCTTGGGTGGGGAAGAGTCCCGTTCGTTCTCTGAATTTTTATGCTCACAGATTGGGGGTGGTGTCTGACTGGCCCATCTGAAAAGCTCTCGAGTGCAACCTGGGATGGCCATCACACACAAGCCGTCTGCCTCCCACTGAACCTAGCAGAGGCCATCACACCCAAGGGGGCGAGAAGGATAGAAACTTTAGACAATCCTCGGGAGAGGAAGAAGGGGGAAACAGGCTGGGGGGATCTGGCACAAACTGTTGGAAAGGCACCAGCTGGTGAGGGGCTGGACAGGATTAGACAACTTTGAAGAGGGGATTCTCTGCCCCTCCCATGAGTGTGTGAGTGTGTGCACTCCTTTGAACCTCCTGGCCTTCTGATTTCCTGCACTCGCTCAAGGGAGCCCCTGCACAGCAAGGGAGTGTCGATGCGATGGTCCTGATGCAGACAAGTGCTCTCAAGGGTTGCTGCAGCTGCTTCCAGGCCCCTGGCCAGTCGGGCCCCACAGTGACAGCTCCAGCAAAAATGGGGCCCAGGCTTCGGGGAGGCCCTCAAAGCAGCTGCACCAAACCAAGTGATTAAGGACACGGCTACCTTAATGCATCAAGAAAGGAGCTCCAGAGCCAGGCGTTTCTCTGCTCCCTTCAGCCAGTACCAAGAAAGGGAGCTGGCGGAGCCTCTTTAAAGTTGGCACCTTACAGTGTCAGTGCCTCAATCCATGCTCGGAAAGCCCGGGAATGACCTGAACTGACCTCGAACCCTAAGTACCACAAGGAGCTGCTACTCATTGGGTGCAAAGCCACAGCAGGCCGGCTGACCCTGAGGGACGGAGGGTGCTTTTCCCAAAGCGGCGAAGGACGAGGCCAGCCCTGCTATAGGGCGCTTCCCTGAGCAGGCTGAGAACTATCCCATCGGCTTTGGCTCCGTGAAGCCGCACCATGTAGCCAGTCACTTTGGCCAAAGGCCGCCTATGCTGGCCCAGCCCCCACCTGGCTCTCCTTGCCAGAGGTTCTGCGGGTGCGGAGAGGTTTGGCCTGGACGGCTGTCAGGCAACCTCCCTCACTGTCAGAGGCGTTGCCTGTGGGGGACTCCTCTTGCCCAGCTAGGAGCTCCTGGAGGGGGAAGGGGTGCCAGAGGGGCGGGGGGGGGGGCTTACCAGTGAACCACTGAGCTCCACCTGATACTCCTGCCGAGCCCGCAGGATCACCTCCTTCTGGAAGTTTCGGTACGCCAAAGTCTGGGGCTCATGATAGGTGATCACCAGCACCGTCTGCAAGAAAAGCTATTGGCTGAGGGACACGGGAGCCCATGTGCCCCTGCAGGTGAGGCACCAGCCTTCTCCCTCTCTGCCATCTCTCTCTCTCTCTCTTACACACACACACACACACACACACACACACACACACCCCTCACGCTTCCAGCACGTAGCTGTCTGGAAATCTCACACCAGGCTGCAAAATGACTCCCATCTGCCCTCGCCAGCAAGGCCAGCCGGTGGAGGCTTTGCAACCTCTGGGGGCTGCTTATGGCTCCCCTTCCCTGAGGCACCGGCCTCCCCCGCCTTGCCCATCCTGCCTCTCCCCCTCCCCATCTGCTCCTCCTGAGCATTTTTGCAAAACCTCAGCCTCTTTTGGGGGAGAGGGGGGGCAAAGGCTGTTGCCATGCTCAAGGCCTGCATTTGGAAGGGGCTGAGAGGAAGGGGCAAGGAAGCCAGTCTGCACTTCCAGCGATGTTTGGCTTCATCGCAACCCCCCCTCCCCACACACACATTTTGAGGCAAGCAGATGTTGGCTAGGTACAGTTGGCCTGGCTGGCTCTCAGGGACTAAAAGCACTCAGGCAGTCCAGGTGTGAAGCTGGCTGCTCTCCAGGGGCTTCTGCTCTGCTCTGCCCACAGCAGGGCCTCCTCCCCCCCCCCCTCAGCAAGGGGTTGAATTCCTGCCCCCTCAGAAGAGATCCAGGATTCTCTCTTCTGCTCTGCAGCAAGCAGAGGGGGCGCCGGAAGGGGCTTCCTCGAGGTTTATGCACGGACTGGGTAGCAAGTAGGGGACCCCTTGACACATCCCCCTGGTCCCTCCACACTGGGCATCTCAGCTCTTCTAGCTGTTGAGTTCCTGCCAGGCCCTGGCCAGAAAGAGACACGCACAGCTCCCTCCTTAGAGGATGAGAGCCACAAGAGCCTTGGTAGTTCAGTGGTCTAAAGCACCCTGTTATTAAGCTGGTTATTAAGACCAGCTGTCTGCAATTACTGCAGGTTCGAATCTCGCCAAGGCTCAAGGTTGACTCAGCCTTCCATCCTTTCTAAGGTAGGTAAATTGAGGACCCAGTTGTGGGGGCAATAAGCTGACTTTGTATAAATATACAAAAGGATGAAGGCTATTGCTAAGCACATTGTAAGCCGCCCTGAGTCTCCGGAGAAGGGCGGCATATAAATCAAATTTAAAAAAAAAAAAAAAGTCCTTCCCCTCTGAGCAAGAGAAGCCCCAGGCCCAGGGAGAGAGCCCAAGAACGGGGGGGGGGGAGGAAGAGGCTTCACCCTGGCCTCCAATGTACCCACCAACATGTACCCACACTCTGAACCACTGTCCTTGAGGGTAGAGCCAGCCTCCCAGAAGAGCAGCTGGTGGGGCTCCCCTCTGCCCAGCCCAAGCCCTACCGTAAAAGGCCTCGAGAGGCCCTTCCTTTCCCCAAGACAGCAGCCTCGGCATCCTTGCCGCCTCCCCACGCCCGAGTGTCCAAGGGTGCCGGCTCTCTTCTCCGTCTTCTGGACTGACCTTGAAGGCCTCCCGCAAGGTGCCCGAGTCCTGGCCCTCCTTGCTCTGCCAGGGCTTGGCGGCCCCCTGGTGCCCGTCCCCTTGCAGGCTCTCTCCAAAAACGTCCACGTAGAAGAAGACATAGTCACCGCGGGTCATGCCCTCCGACTGGGCTCGACGCATGACTTGGTGCAGCATCTCCAGGGGGCCGCAGATGTAGATGACTGCCAAGAGAAGAAGGGCAGGAGGAACCCCATTTGGTCAGCTGCTCTCCCTGTCCGTCTGCTGCTGGTGCTCTCCCAGAACCCGCCCTCCCTCCCTCCCTCCCTCCCATGGCTACAGTTGTCATGTTTCTGGTTAGAAACGGGGAGGCCTTGGGAAGCAAGGGGGAAGCATCAAATGTAATTGTATTTAGTGAATTGCTTCCATTTAAATCAAATAAAACAAATTTATTGCTTTCTTCCCAACTTTTTTGTTTGCACTCAAATGCCCCGTGCAGCCCCAGGCATCTAAGACTGTGCACTCCTGGGCAGCCAAAGGATGGCCGTGACTACAACCCCCATGCATGGAGCCACATGCAGAAATGTGGATCAGGGCCTCTTCTGCGGTTGACCCCGACTGCCAGCCTCCCTCCACAGCTGGACCTTTGCCCCCTCCCCCAGAAAGGGGAGTTGGGTACTATGATGAAACCCCCAGCCGGGTTCCATGGAAAGATATCAGGGCTGAGCCCCACTTGGCCTCACTGATGTACCTAGGGCTGGAGACATTTCACTGAGTTATTTATCATAGCAAAGCACGATCCACATCCAATACTCAGCTACAATAAACACAAATAAACTTTTTTTAAAATGAAAGGACCTGATATTGTATAATATTGTATTTTATAAAAAAGAAAATCCAGAGAGGGATAAAGCATACACAAAATGCTTTCACAGTAGAGTGTAGCAATGGATCTTCAAAATCTTGAAAGAACCCAAAACCCAGGCAGAAGGCGTCTTCAGGGCAAGGAACTCCCTATTTTCTAAAACCACCATCCAGAAGCCCCAGCTTTGCTTGCTCTTCCCGAATGGACTGACCGACCAACAGAGGAGCTTGTGCAAACAAACCTTTTGCCAAAGGTCACAGCTGCTGGGCACAATGTGGATGGGGGGGGGGGGGAACTGTTCCTCCAGGCCTCAAGCCTTTTAGGGGCTTCTCCAGAATGACAGGCCCTTGAGGAGACCCCCCCCCGGAATCTGAGTTTTTCCCCACATGGTGCACATCACAATCCTCCCAAGAGGCGAGGGGGGGACGGTCGGCCACATGCGGTTAGCAGGGGCCACTCAGACCTCTCTAGGAATGGAGCACCTGAGAGAGGGGCCCTCTGGCTGCTGCAAATAGTTATTCTGAGCCACAAGGAGTATTCAAAGAGGGGTGGGGTTTCCCCCCAGCAGCAAGTACCTGCCTTCAATGGAAGAAGAGCCCCTGGGATGTGTAGGGAAAGGGAACTCCCCAGACACCCTGCCCCACTGGTCCAGGGATTCCCCCTTCCCCAAAGCTCCCTTCTGGTTTTGCTTTTGTAATGGCAGTTTGGGGACTTCCAGGAAGCCATCACTCCACCTGGGCTGTTCTCCTGCCTTTCCTGTTCCCCCAAAAAGGCCAAGATAGGGGGGGGGTTTACACCCCTTGGATCAGTTTCAGATGGAAAATGACAGAGCTGCCCCACCTCTTAAGATTAGCAGCCCTGAAAACCAGGTAAGAGGACAGAGAAGGTCAATTTATTCCCCCCCCCCACATGACTGCAGCTGGGGTGAGTCAGAGGAAGAAGAGGGGAGGGGCTATCACAGCTGGAGGGGCAGCTGAAAGGAGCTCAGGAGCTGGCAAGGACAGGGGCATCAGAGATGAGCAAAGAAGAAACAAAGGCAGCAATCAAAGACTGATTTAGGCAGCAACTTGGAATTAAGGAGGAATTTCCTGACAGCGAGGACAATCAATCAATGGAACAGCTTTGCCTTCAGAAGCTGTGGGTGCTCCATCACTGGAAGTTTTTAAGAAGAGAGTGGACAGACACTTGTCTGGAATGGTATAGGGTCTCCTGCTTGAGCAGGGGGTTGGACTAGAAGATCTCCAAGGTCCCTTTCAGCTCTGTGATTCTGTTAAGACCACTCAAGTTCTTGACAAGGAGAAAACCTGTTGGATTTGCCTGCCCAGTGCAGATATCCAGAGAAAGAAGAAGAATCCTGCATATGTTTGATTACCCAAACTAGGTAACACCGTCAGTGCTCGTAAGGAGGGTGGTTTGAGGAAGAAGAGGCCCAAAGACACAACAAGAAGATTAAAGCTGGACGAGCTGTGAGAAATTGCCAGTTAAGTTTCCATAGGCAAATGTGGAGAATTTACTGTACTGTTTACGAGATGCACATAATCATCTTAGTAGAAGCAATTTACTGCAAGCAGGGGAATCATGGAGCAATTAAGTGGAGCAATTAAGCTACCAAGCAATTCACTTCTTTCCTTTGAAGGCAGAAGACCTGATTCTGGCCTCTGAAGCCCCAACAGATGGTGGACGTAGCACAGGGGTGAAATCCAAAATTTTTCCCTACAGGTTCTGTGGGCGTAGCTTGGTGGGCATGGCAGGGGAAGGATATTGCAAAATCTCCATTCCCACCCCACTCCAGAGGAAGGATACTGCAAAATCTCCATTCCCTCCTGGGGGGAGGATATTGCAAAATCTCCATTCCCATCCCACTCTGGGGCCAGCCAGAGGTGGTATTTGCCGGTTTTCTGAACTACTCAAAATTTCTGCTACCGGTTCTCCAGAACCTGTTAGAACCTGCTGGATTTCACCCCTGAGGTAGCACCACTCTGGATCCGTTTCTTGCCTTATGGAAATGGCTGTGATCTGGATACGGGGGAGGCTGTCCTCATCACCCCCTTGTCTCTCTTGCTATCACTCTGGAGTGCTCTGGTGCTGCTCCCCGCCTCAGCAAGGAAGGAGCTCCTTGTCCGCGACAGACACCTGCTGGGCCCTGCTGGGCTTCGGGCGGAGCTGGCGGTGCTCAGCCACCGCTTGGAATGAGAGGGACCACCCAACTTAGGCAGCCTCTGACTGGGGTCTCCAGAGCTTCCGCTGAATTTTGGAGAAGCTCTGAGTGAAGAAACTGGAGAAATCCCCTGAGGACAGAGAATGAATCTGACCGAGCCTTTTATTAAGGAGAAGGTGAAAAGAGCAGCCAAGGTAACTTTCCTGGCTGCAGAGAGCTAACCGGCAGCCCTGTTGCAAGGGACCTGAAGGAACATCTGCAGGGCTACTGTGAGGAGCAGGCCAGGCATCTTTCCAACAGTCACTAGAATTGGCTCCCAGTAGGAATTGGCTCTGCGGGTCCTGCAGTTTGTTTGTTTGTTTGTTTATTTTCATTTATTTATATGCCGCCCTTCTCCCAAAGGACTCAGAGCGGTGAATACAAATTAAAAACATACAATAATAGAAAATCCTAATTAAAAACCAATTAAAACAGAATAAATAAATAATACAATCCAAGAATCAGACTCAGCCCAGTTGTTGAAACAGCCAAGTCTTTAGGCCTCGATGGAAGGAGTGTAGATCAGGGGCCGTCCGGAGTTCAGTGGGTAACTCATTCCAGAGGGCAGGGGTGCCCACAGAGAACGCTCTACCCCTGGACGTCACCAGCCGACATTGTCTGGTCGACAGTACCCTGAGGAGGGCAGCCCTATGAGAGCGGACAGGATGGTAGGAGGCGGGTAGGAGATGGTCCTGCAAATACCTTGGAGCTAAGCCATGTAGGGCTTTAAAGGTAAGTACCAGCACCTTGAAGCGGATCTGGAGGACCACTGGTAACCAATGCAGCTCATGTAGGAGAGGTGTTACGCGGAAGTAATGGGGAGCTCCCGTAACAACCCGCGCGGCCGCATTTTGGACCAGCTGGAGCCTCTGGGTGCACCTCAAGGGCAGCCCCATGTAGAGGGAGTTGCAGTAATCCAAGCGAGAAGTAACCACGGCATGGGTGACCGTGCGAAGGGCATCTCGATCTAGGAAAGGGCGCAACTGGCGCACCAGGCGAACCTGCGCGAAAGCCCCCCTGGTCACGGCCGTCAAATGATCTTCCAGCGACAGCCAGGCATCCAGGAGGACACCCAAGTTGCGGGTGGCCTGACTTGGTTATCTGGGAAGAGTTTGAGCCTATTAGTCCTGAGGAAGTGGGCACAGTCCCCAGGAGGTGACTTTGGCCACTTGGGCATCAGATCAATATTCTAGCTAAGGCGTCCTGGAGGATGGTGCATGCTTGGGTCCAGGTACAGAGATAGCCTTGATCAAATTATGCGGCAGCTGTTACAAAAATATCAGTTAAGCTCAGGAGGACAGAAATTAAAAGATGCCCCTGCTAGACTCTCTTTAGTATAAGGGGATGGGGGAAAAGCTCAAGGGGTCTGAGATACTGTTATTATAGCCTATATAAACAGAGACGGGGTGCAGCTTCTGGGGCCTGTTTCCTGACCGGGTCTGCCCTGTGGGGCAATACCAGGGCTTGGACTTCATCCTTGATTGAGGGAGAAGTCCATCCACACAAAAGGATGGCACACCCATCCCGGCTCTCCTTGATCTCTCAGCAGCCTTCAACACTAGTGATCCTGGTATCTGGGGAAGCTGAGATCTGGGGAAGAGTAGCCTTGCCATGGTTCTCCTTCCTCCTCTAGAGCCGGTTGGTGTTTAGGGAGAGGGAGGGATCCAGCCCCAAAGCCTCTCAGTGCTGTATGCCTTTCCAACTCCTCCTTAGCATCTACTACATGATGCCTGTGGGCAACGTCACTGGCATGGAGTATCTGTTTATTTATACATGTCTTCTCCAGGCCAGGGAATTCTGTCAACGTCCTGGTGTTTGGAGGATGGTCGGAGACAGGATGATGGTTATCAAGAACTGTCAGGTTCGGGTTAGTTATCCCCTCTCTGAAAGATGCTAGGAGCATAGAGTGACCCCAACTACAAGTCATCTCCCAGGCAGCCTTAACAACCTAGAAAGGACCTGGATTTCCTAGGCAATTGGTCAAGTTCTTAGTTCAGAGGGCCCTGCAAAAACTGTCTTGGCCTTTTCTCTTTCTGCATAACCTGGGCCCGCTGGGTCTGCCATCAAACTGGCTTGTCTCTTTCTGCAAAACCACAAGAGTTTCAAGGGGATGAAAAAAAACAGTCTTGAAGACTGTTCATCTCCAGGGCCAATATGGAGAA